AAAAAAAAAAAAAAAAATTCCTAACCTCTCTTTACCTCATTCCCTCACCTTAAAGTAAGCACCAGTTACACAGGGTCCATTATCCAGGGGGGCTGCGATAATGCATGTTAAAGTCACTCAGAATATCTAGCACACAAGCATTCAATAGGAGGTGCTGCTGCTACTTAAGTCAAACAGGCTACTTTCATTCACATCAGGCTGTCCCCTTTTCTTCAGCCCGCTCCTGGTAAGTCCTACAAGATGGACAGTGGCAGTGTCTTCTGACAGACAGGGAAACTGAAGCCCAGCCACACTTAAAGTCTAGGGCACTGTTGGGACCAAAACCCTGGGGCTTGTCGGCCAGAAATATTCCCAGACCTATCTCCAATGCAAGCCTTTCCAGGAAGCCATCCCCCCACTCTGAATTGCATCACATATGCCTATGTGGCCAGACCAGGGTGAATGCATCTGAGTATAAGGGTGGAGGGGCACTGCCATTGCTGCCAGAGCAGCACCTTCCTAGCAGACAAGGCCCCGGCGCATTGGACACTGAAATACTAGAAGCCCCCTCGGGATCGCTCCTGCACCCACCCTCCTCTAGCCTGCGGTACTCACAGAGGTTGCCTCCTGAGCCGCTGGGACTCATCTCCTTGGGCGAACCTTGCCGTTCCATGACCTCTTTAGGATTCAGGTCCTCCATGGTGACAGGGACGCCTCTGGGCAAGAGAGGAATACGCATGAGTGAGGCCACTTACTATAACCAGCCTTAGCGGACCCGCTAATCCTTTGACTCCCGCGGCACACAATCTCCATGAACTCTGATGGCGCTCTCACCAGAGAAGCCTGAAGCTTCCCAGAAGCTCAGACACCCCGAGTTTGTGATTCTCCTAAACTCAGGGTCTTCCCCCGGCAACTAATTCCCTGAGAGTTTCTGACCCTTGAGCTTGACACCACCTTCATCCCACTCGCTCACGTGTCCTAAGACTGGCAGTGGTTTCCCCTCTTTAGCCTGCCTCTTCCCGAGGGACATTCTGTGACCCTTGTTCCATGGAGTGTCCCGTATCCCGCTACCCTCAGCACTGCCTTCAGCTCCCTGCTCCAAAGACTGGTTGCCCAGGCCTAGGCTCTTCTAGGTACACCAGAGGGCTGCCTTTCTCTATGCCTGTTAGTCGAACGCGAAAGCAGCACCACAAAGGGGAGTAGGATAAGGCCACCGAATTTTGAGCTCTCCCATAATCTCCGCTCCCTCTGACCTGACATATTTGTTGAAGTCAAGGTCACAGATTTCCATCCGGCAGTAGTAAAGTCACGCTGGTCCGGGCCTCAGACTAATAACTGCGGGGCCTTCTTTGTTCTGTGGCGCATTGTGATGACGTCACGAGCAAGCCCCCGCCTTACAAGCCTCGTCCTAGGGAGTAGCTGCGGGGGAGGGGGGCTCCCGCTGCGCAGGCGCCTTGGCCCCTCATTGTTCTAGGCCGGCGGCCGTCCAGGTTGAAGTACCGGAGTGCTTTGGGGTTCTTGCACAACGAGACTCCGGGTCTCCCACGACGCGCTCCAAGACACACCCCTTCGTAGAGGGCGTGGCGTCGGGTTAGAACCACCCGAACGCGTGCCGAAGAGTCTAGATTCCGTCGCTCTTGGGCTTTTGGCCTCTGTCCGCCCGAGCACCAAGGGCCGGGCTCCTCTTTGGCTGACCGGCCGTCACCAGCTGCGCTCCCAGGGTGTCCTCTCTGCTCGGTTGGTGACTTGGAAGGGGGGAGGAGACATCCACCCCTGTGTGCCCAAGGGATGAAGGATTGGAGTCCGGATTTCTGAGCGTTTGAAGCAGAAAGGGAGACGCTTGCGTCCAGCAAAAGGATGGACAGGCGCCCCGGGTTTCCAGGGAATGGGCCCTGGGTACTGGATTTCTAGGTCCTGCAGGGTGACACCCGAGAATGGAAGTGGGAGACAGGATGGAGAACGGAAGCCCTGGTCCAGAGTGGGGCGGCTAGGGGAGAAAAGGGCTAGGTGCTCTCTGACCCGTGTCTTCCCCACTCCTTATTTCCAGCAATGCCACCGCCGCCGGGTGACGTGACTGCCTTGTTCCTGGGGCCTCCGGGCTCAGGAAAGTCCGCGCTCATAGCAGCGCTGTGTGACAAGGATGTGGAGACCGTAGAGATCCCCGAGGGACGGCCGAACTCCGGGATCCCCAGCCTGAGAGCGGTGGGCCCCGGCCTCTTCCTCGGCGAGTTGAGCTGCCCACCCGCAGCGCCTGGGCCCTGGGCGGCCGAGGCCAACGTGCTGGTACTGGTGCTACCCGGGCCTGAGGGGAACGAGGAACCCTTGGCCCCAGAGCTGGGAGAGGCAGCGCGGGCCGCCTTGGCCAGAGGGACCCCGCTGATGGCTGTGCGAAACCTCAGTCCGGGGGATTCACAGCGTGAGGCCCAAGCCCGCGATCAGACAGCCGCGCTGCTGGACAGCGCAGGGCTGGGAGCCGCAGCTCTCTTCGTGCTACCTAAGGACTGCCACCGCAGTGACAACTGCGAGGAACTAGAGCGTCTCAAGGCTGCGCTGCGGAGCCAGGCAGAGGCGCTGCAGAGGTGAGCGACGGGGTTTCAGGCTGGGTGGGAGGCCTGGTCCCTTTAGCCTAGACCCGTCCACCAAAAGGCTCTTTGACACGTACAAAACACTGCCTCCATGGACCCTGTGTCACAGCTTTACTAGTTATCTGCTGAAGCCCTGGTCGTTTGCCTAGATAGCCTGTTAGAACAGAATTTAAATCAGGGAGGCTCCGCCGGGGGCTCTGTATTTGACCATGCCCTGTTTAGGCTCCACCCCAGTTAAGGGTCATTGCAAATCCCGACCTGTCCCGAAGCTCTCACCTCCTGAGGGCCTTTTGAGATCACAAGTCTGACTCCCTGGCAAGAATTCTAGGTCCTAAAAATACTGCCCACAGGAAAATTTTGGAGGACTCTATCTCTTCAGGAAAGTCTGTGACTCCGGAAAAGATTTCCCACAAAGACTCCTGGAGACTTCCCTCTGTTCCTCACCCTCAGCTTGGTTTTCAACCCTAGTTGACTTAAAGACAAACCCTCAGTGAGCGTGACTATTTCTGGATGTCGTCCCATACTTCTTTTCTCCATTCCCCTTTCATTTCCTGGCCGATTTGCTAGCTACCTTCTAAATCCTCCAACCCACAATTGTCAGTTACCCCCTCTTTTTTGGTATTGGGGATCGAACTTGGGTCCTTGCGCTTGGGAAGCAGGCAACAGAACCACTGAGCTAAATCCCCAGCTCCAAGTTGCCTTTTTTGGGAAGTTTGGGTTTTGTTTGTTGAGACAGAGTCTCACTATGTAGTTCAGGCTGTTCTTAAACTCACTGTGTGGCCCAGGCTGTCCTCGAACTTGCAACAGTCCTTCTGCCTCAGCCTCCCAATGCTGGAATTATAGGCATGCACCACCCCACCCATCTTAAAGTTTTAAAACAAGGTCTTGCTATATAGCCCATGCTGGCCTCCAATTTGTGGTGAACCTCCTGCCTCAGCCTCCCGAGTGCCGAGATTGCAGGTTCGTGCCACCATGCCTGGCACCTACCTCATTTTTTTTTTAGCTGCCTCATTTTATGGACATCAAAATAAGGCTCAGAGAGGGTCACCTCCCTTACAGCTTCATCTGCCCCTTGTTGCCTTAGCCACACCTCCTTGGTAAGAACTAGTAGATGAGACTTCTCCCCTCACAGGCCTTCCTGAGGGCTAGCCTTAGGGAAGAACGCCCTTGTGGGCCTCCTCAAGGTGCACTTGGCATTCATTTAGGCTGTAACACATCTGGCATTCTGGCCTTGTTCTAAGCCTCTCCTTGTGAGGTTTGTCCTCCCAAGAATTGTATCCTGAAGTCAACTGGAGTCCTCATCTTTGCCTCTGGTGGAAATCTGACCTCACGTCAACCCACCTGGTCATCAAGGCCTGATTGCCGTCTCAAGCCTCGTCCATGTTGTCCTTTGCTCCACCACCAGGTTTCTGTGTGCTTGGCCATCAGTCTGGCCCCTTCTTGCCTCCTACCTCACCCTGAGATTATTCACAAAGCCCTGAAGCCAGATGTGGGGTACACACCTGTAACCCTAGCACTCTGGGAGCTGAGGCAGGAGACTCGCAAGCAGTCACATGGGCTACACATCGAGTTCGAGATCAGCCTGAAATATGGCAAGATCCTGAATTAAAACTAACAGTGGGCCAGGGATTTAGCTCAGTGGAGTTTGATCTCCGGTACCAAAAAAAACCCCACAAAAAACAAAAACACCCGAAAGCTCTGCCCTGTCAGCCTGGCCCAGCCCTAGTTCCTCTAGCCCTGCTTTCCCATGTTTCCTGATCAGCCCTTGATCCTACCCCTCCCTGCCCCCACAGGCTCCTACCTCCTGCTCAAGATGGTTTCGAGGTGCTGGGAGCTGCAGAACTGGAGGCTGTGCGAGAGGCCTTTGAGACCGGTGGCCTGGAGGCTGCGCTGTCCTGGGTGCGTGCAGGTCTGGAGCGCCTGGGCAGTGCGCGGCTGGACCTGGCGGTGGCCGGCACCACTGGTATCAGCCTTGTGCTGGACACACTGCTCGGGTTAGATCCTGGTGACCCAGGGGCCATGCCTGCCTCAGCGCCCACGGGGCCCACCCCATGGCCGACCCCGGAGCGCCCCAATGTTGTGCTCTGGGCGGTGCCTCTGGGCTCGGCAGGCACGCCCTCTGACACCACCCCTCACGCGGCCCACTACGATGCCCTCATCCTTGTCACTCCCGGAGCCCCCACGGAGAAGGACTGGGCCCAGGTCCGCGCCTTGGTGTCGCCAGATGTGCCTCTTGTCTGCGTGCGAACAGACTGTAAGGGCGAGGACCCCGAGTTTCTGGAGGAAGAGGAAAAGGTGGAGAATCCCAGAGGCCAGAGCTTGGGGAACACAGGCGAAGAAGGGGCACTGGGAAGAGCGCTCAATGAGGAGGAGAGGAGTGGCGCTGGATCGCAGAAAGCCGGCGGCCAGAAGTCGCCGCAGGTGGATGGCGCCAACACCCAGGGCAGCGGGGATGCTGGGCGTGCAGCCCCTCTGAGCCCCGAGGATGAGACGTGGGAGGTGCTGGAGGAGGCGCCGTTGCCAGTGTTCCCCCTGCAGAAGGGGCACTGGGAAGAGCGCTCAATGAGGAGGAGAGGAGTGGCGCTGGATCGCAGAAAGCCGGCGGCCAGAAGTCGCCGCAGGTGGATGGCGCCAACACCCAGGGCAGCGGGGATGCTGGGCGTGCAGCCCCTCTGAGCCCCGAGGATGAGACGTGGGAGGTGCTGGAGGAGGCGCCGTTGCCAGTGTTCCCCCTGCCCCCTGC